ATTCTTGCACTAAGCTCAGGCTCTTCCTCTTTTTTCACTGGGTTTAAGGTATACCTACAGTAGCCACATGTGTGAGTTAAAAGGGACACATTGGTTCAACATTGGTAGTTAATATGGTTGTCTAGAATTCATGCCAATGCAACTTGCTTGTACCCTGTTGTCCTATTTATATTCCACTCTTAATATTCCATTTCTACCTTACAATGCATTATTGCTGGTCTCAGCCAACCTATGACTTGGCACGTTCAGCAGAACTTGGCTTATGATTCAGGCAGAACCACGTGGCCACTGGGGTTCCCAGAGTAGTATCTGAATCTTTACCAGGACTCAGCAGCATGCCAGGACTATTTTTTCAAATAATTACAATTCTCCACTAAAAATGGTATGGCCTTCCTCCAGAATACCAGGGCTATACACATTATCTTTTCCCACCATTGATGTTTAATATAGAGAGTATACTCAAGTACAGGAGTCCTTGCACTAAAACTTGAGCCTGCTGCAACTTTCTGCCTTAAATACTGCTAAACTATTGTAGTTTTTGTGCTACGTGGTATATGGTTCAGGACAGAGTTTCCTGGAATTTAATAAAATACCTCCCTAATGGAAGAGGCCAAAAATCATTTTGCTTCCTTCCTGGTGGGAAGTACAAATTGCAGTATATTTCCTCTGATTTTTTTAAGTGATGTTCCATAATAATCTGGTCTTAAAACATTTTACTGATGACCCTTAGAACTTTATAAGATTTATTAGCTTCCCCCCACCTCCTATAAATCACACATCCTAGTAAGGCCTCCCACATGATAGCCACCTTTTATTCATGCAATATGAATAGTATAGCATAATGTTGCTAGTATAGTGCAAGAATGTGATTTTCAGTGAAATGTTCAATGAATCTGGATCCCCTTGAGCTATGACAAAAGATAGGAGTATTATTATGGTCCTAGAAAAAAATAAAAGTCTATAATTTAGTATAAGAAGTAAACTATTCTGACCCCCTTTTAATAAAAATAAAAAAAAATTGTCAACTCTGGGGCTATATCCATCTCCCCAAACTTAGGTCAATCTCTTCTAGTAAAGATGCTGCATCTGGTGATCAATTGCAATGGTGGATAATGTTTGACCAAATTCACAATACTTCACCATTATCTCCAAAATTCATTTTGCTTTCGTTGGGGCCTATAAAAGTTAATTAAATGGTGATAAAAGGGAAAACATTGCTCAAGCATACCTCATATCATAAGGGTAGCACTAATATGCCCTGGGACACAATATTTTTTATGTTTACAGAAGAATGGGTGCAATTTCAGAGGTTTCCACTTGGCTTTTCCAACTACAACAGCCTTTAGCCCAAAGTTCAAGAAAGCAATGTAGAAGTTGTCCAAACTACAAAGTGTGTATAGTCCAAATAATTCCTTTTGTATCTAAGGAAATGACCACTTCGGACCTAGAAGGCACATTATGTTTAATAGTCCTTGAAATGTAGTGATATCCCACTTTCACTAGTGTATAGTTCCCCAAACAAATGACCATAGATATTTAGTGAAGTTATTTTAGTGATAATCATCATCTATAGATGACTCCTTTTCATGTTGTAGAGTGTTTCTTCCTGGGGTCCCACACTGATTGTCCATCAATGATTTTAGTGTCTTACAACTGGTTCAAGTCTAAAAGCTGGGAAAGTAATTGTTATTTTTATTTTATATTGAGCCAGCTGCCCCAAGTTTCTTGACTAATAACCTCTAATTAACTTTCTTTGTCTAAATTCAGACATAGTACTGTCACAAATTCATCAATCTATCCTCCAGGTACTTTGTGTTCTTTTAACCAGCGCAAATTTCTGTTGACCAAGCTTCTTCTGAACTTACCGATCATTCTAGTTTATGACAATGAGGTGTTGAAACTAGAATATCTTTTATTTGGGAGAGGTGTAAAAGTCCTTTAACCCAAGCACTACTGCTCCTCCCAGTTCTAAGATGACATCACTTCCTGTCAAGAGTGGATCTACAGTAAGCTAACTCTCATCTTAGTGATTGTGGTGTCCTTACATTAACATGTGTTTTATAGTTTTAGAAAATGATATATGTATTTCAGGTTCTTTCATGGGATGGGAAAACACGGAAATATAGAGCATGGGAAAAAATAAGTCCTTCCAATGGAAAGGGTCCTTCTGATTTCAGCTTTATATAAACTATCTACTTAATATCCTTACATTTCTCTACCATTTAACACCTTCTTTCTCTGCCTACCATAGGCATTATAACACATCTTCCTCCCATAGTGGAGATTATTGCTTTTTTTTTTTTGTGGTTCCAGGTGCATGTTAGTGTGTTTGTACTATCTTAGCAGGATCCTACATTCCATGGAGGTACTCTAACAAAATAAACCTAGCCTCATCCAATTTTATATTTTGTCTTATTAAGTACCCTCAAAATCCAATCACATATATATTCTCCTGTAATTTGCTTGTTCATTCTCACTGGGACCTGCAAATCCATTGGGAAATAATCCCCCCCCTTTTTTTTTAATAAGACCCAGTACAATCTCAGGTAGGTTATATTGAGACTCAGTCCTAGCTACAGCATGGGTTTAATGGGAGCATGGAAAAAATCATAAGGAAATTTTCTTGCAACATGGTAGCTTCTCTATTACCTTTAGGCAAGAAGTGTGCTAACTTTTAATAGGGAGGAATGGATCACTTCCTAGTTTTAAGGAGTTAATAAAAATCTATGTATTGTATTTTTTTGTGAAAATAACCTTGACTTAGCAGACCTGCTTTAGATGGTGTTGTATATTATTGGATCTTGACTATTCTTGCAAGTACCCAGTCTTCAGCTTTCTCAACCTTTCCCTCACTTCAGAAAATTAGAGCTTCTGTATATGGTGCTGAGGAGATCCTCTAGTTTTCACTGTTGGCTTTTAATTGTCAATTATCAGTTTCAGTTTTATGTACCTTTGTCACGAACAATGAGAGTAACCCCCACTTAATTCTATTGGACCAAATAAAGCATTCCCTTCCAACAGTATAACACACCAGGATATCACTGGTAAATGAGTTTATATTTGTACAGCTATCTTGAACCAGCAGTTATCTGTACTGAACCAATGATCTGTAATGGGGTGGGTACCAGTTGTAGGCTCCTAAATCATTCAACTCTAGAATCATTCCAGCATTACCTTTTTGGGCCATTCCTGGTGTCAACTACTATATGTTTAGTTTCTTAGGATGCAGACAATGAGATAGAGATTAGCAGTGAGGAGGTGTGTTAGGGAGTGATTTTTTTTTTGTATGGAAAAAAAATAAATCATGTTCAGGTAGGAAATTAAGAGAAATACAGTATCAATGAGCATCTCAGTTTCACCTATGGAAAATTATAAAGTTGGGATGAAATAACAATGTTGTACTGAATTGAGACATTGATTTTCCATATTGATCAAATATTGGATTAAGACTAAATGAAACAGTGAGTGAAACCTTGAGTGAGGTGGTCCCTTCAACCACATCACCTTCATAGGAGGTGCCATGGGTTGAATGGTCCCTGTCAGCAGCATTCCTTGAAATGGTGGAATAAACCATTTAAGATGGAAAATTTTAGGTGGTGAAGCATTGTAATGTTAAAAATATCTGCATTTAATAGAAGTTCCATTATAAGTAGTAAGTAAATGTTGAGAGAACATATAATGGGAATGAATTGAAATAGTAATACCTAATCTTATCTCTAATTACAATTAACAGCAACTATGTACATTTAAGACAATATCTGTATACATATGCATTTGTGCATCACAACACATATTTTTTTTAACCTATAAACTACATCAGAAAGAAGTTTGTATTTGTGGACCCCTGATCATGTCCAGCTCCAGAAGCTGATTAGTCATACTGTAGAGGCTTTCAGCCAGATTAGCTTGTATGCATTTTCTATCTCTGAAATTCAGTTGCTATAACATAAATATTTGTCTCTATTTTATTTTATTGATGGTTATATGGGCACTGCACAAACCTGTTTATAGAAATGTTACCAAGAGAATTTGTAATACTAAATGGCATACATATTTATCCTTATCTTGAAATGAGCAGTGCATGAAATCTGCATAGAACCTAATATACTTTTACCTTGATATTCAACAATAGTTATAATTTTGAAAACATACTGACATTTCATTATGACTTTAGAATTATAATAAAAGAGATTAGTTTATGTGTGTTCATCTGATTAAATCTTTATAGAGAATAAACAGTAATGTTAAAATTCACATTTACTTTTACAAATGTCACAGCTCAAAGTTCAACTTGAAATCATTATGAATTTGTTATCTAAAATGTTTCCTGAAAAAATTGAAAGGTGAATAATAACTAATAAAAATCAAGTGAAAATATGCTAAGGATAATGAAAGTTGTGAATAACAATTCTGATTGCTGAACAGAAATAATTTATATGGCATTTCTGAATATCAAATATAATGATATTCACTATAATTCTCTTATGAAAGATACTTATAATTTTTATCATATAAATGAGATCCTTATAAAATTCCCATTGGATTTTGCTAATTTAATAGAAAGGTAGGTTTGAGGTATTTAATAATCTCAATCAAAATTATCTTCTTTGACACTAAATAAGAATAGGAAGATGCATGAGAATGTTAAAATGCATTTATTAATCTCAGTATGCAATACCACTGAAACTATTATGATGTTCAAAGTAACTTTTATACATCACTTTATTTAGACTGTTAAAAATTATCATGATATTTTCTGTAATTTTACAGCAACATAGCTATAGATGGTCAGAAAATTACAGTTACTCTACTTGAGTCAAAAGGTCATAACATTTAAAAATGCTTCTCTTCTGAGTAATTTGTGAAATAGGTTTCTATAAATATATGATGGCATTTCATGTGGTGGACAGCTGTTCTTAGGAATGTAGAATCATATAACAAATATATGTTCAAATTTGCAATATGTAGCATCATTGACATTTTATACTCTTTTCTAAAAGGAACTAATGCCTGTTTTCCAAGTCCAAATTATAACCCCTTCACATGGATGTTTTTCCTGGTTTCATGTCCTAACTATACCTATGAGGTATGCCATTATGTATGTAAATATTTAAACTTTATTTGGTATAATATATGCATTCATTTATGTATTTACTATCTGTAGATACAGCATAGACAGATATAAATTGATATTGATTTTATCATATGAATAGGAAATTAGAAATTTCAGCTGCAATTTTCCCTAGAAAAAAGAATAATTATAACATATATTTATCTATATTTAAATAAAATTTTATAATCTTCACATAAAATGTTTTAAGATGTTTTGGGATTTTGTAAAAAGTCTTTGAACAATATCAATTTTCTTATGATTATTTTATAGGGTTGTTTATAATTTAATCATATTGAATACTTAAATAATTTAAGGAAGATTTATTTTTACTTATCATTTTTCTACTGTGTTTTAAGCTTTGAATTACCTACTTAAAGTTACACATGAACAAATTACTAGCTTACACATACATGCTAACTTATATGTTAATCTGACAGATTGGATCATGGATCAGTTTCACAGTCATGACACAAACACTGCCAGGTAAGACCTGGGTTTATGTACAATGGAAGTCAGTACATCTTTAGCAGTGATTTCTGCATGTGCTGGTAGAGCTCTGAAATTTGTCATGTTTGCAAAAGGATTTTGTGCTTTCATTATATTTTTATTTTGGATTTCTGTGTAGTTTTAAAATATAATGGAACATTATTTACTATGTATCTCTATGTATCATGGCCTAATCTGAGCCAGAGAATTTAGTTATATAGAGGCAGTGGTAATAATGTATTAAAGCTGAAAGTCTCTTTTATGTGTGTGAGCTCCACAAGGTCCATGAGTGTCTGTGAAGCATGATTGTATAACCTTGGGTGCTGGCATTTTAACACATGCAAGGAAGCTAGATTTCAATACTGCATGTATTAGAAGAGACATCAGTTTTACCAATTATACCCATTCTTGTTTCATTGTACAAAATTTGGAATCACAATAAATGTGGTTGATCATAAGCAATTGTGTATATGTGTGAAGAGGTATTTTGCATGCATATGGCAACTGTTATTGAAAAATTAATAGATAAATATTCCTCATTTGGAAGTACTTTGGGGCAACAGGATGAAAAATATGTAGATATATTTTGATCTCTGCTATATACTCTCTATGTTTATCAGGCCATGAAATAAATATTGATTGAATATATATAAGCTAGGCAATGAATATGAGTAAATAAAATAGATGGAAAACTATGAAACATTTGAGAAATGTTTTAAGAGTACTATATGATCATTTTTTTCTAATATAACTTGCTATATCCATCACATAAAAAAGAAAAAAATAACTATTTATTTTTTCTTCTAGTTGGAATTTTTACACTTATGATGAGTATCCAGATGTCTTTGTGGGCCCAAAAGAAACATAAGATTTATCTGAAGAGATTCAATTCTTGTATGCATAGGAAATCAGCAATGATTCCATTCATATTGTAAGAAAAATAAATGACCTTACCTCATATATAAAAAATAAACATAATATCACTAATCAGACTTGGTCAAGTATGATTGACTATTATGTTCCAGAAATCCACCAACAACAGTATTTTGCTAAGTAAAACTATCAAATAGTAGTAATCTAACTAAATTTAGAGTAATTAACTTGAGGCACATGAAAAACAGAAGTTATAGATATAAGTAATGAAAAATGACATCCAATATGTTATTTGGATGGTCCTTGAAAAATATGTTTATTTCATTAACTATTTCATTATACTATTTACTTAAGACAATTAAAATATCTGAAGTCTAAAGTAAATAGTTTTAAATGTTATGAGACTTATATCACTTGAATTTTACACATTACTTTGATAGTAATTTAATTTTTTCCTCATTGTTCAAGACGTTATTGAGAAGAATTTAATGTCTTATGTTTAGAGGTCTGTTGTGAAAATTTTTACCTATATTAAAAGTCAAACACTGATACATAGCTATGTATCTTATTTATTCATAGTATAGACAAATGTGTGCTATAATTCTAATATTATAACAATATTTTCTAGACATTTACTAAATCACTTCCATATGTAATATATTTATATGTATATGTACATCATATTTATATGAGTATATATATTGAAATATATACAATTCAAATTAGTTGTATATGATGATGAAGAGAGAGCACATTGGAGATTTCTGAGAAATAGAGTGAAAAAATTCTGTATCATGTTTACAGTTTTAAATTCCAACATTATCTCAAGCCTTGTGTGTATGTGAACATGCACATGTATTTTGAGAAGGAAATGGTTGATACTGCAAAAATCAAGAACATACTAGTTAAATGTTTAAAAGAAATTCTTAGTTTCATCATTTTAATATTGGAATTCTTCAGACTGGTTCATTTGTAGAGCTTTTCCTATTCTCAAATATATACTATATATATATAAAATCACAAATACCTTCATTAAAGCTTTTATTATGTAGGCATTTGACAAGATGTCCTTGGTAAAGATAAATCTATATGCGTTCTGTGGGTGTTTATTATTAAAATATGAAGTTAATTATTCAAGAAATAACAAAAATAACCCTCTAACAACATTAGTATTATTCCCAATATATAGTATTAAATTATTAAAGGGAAAGACAAGAACAGTCTCCCTAACAACCATTAAGCAAAATAACATGGGAGCATGCAAAAGTCTAAAGTTCTAATGTATTAAACTATGTACCTCTAACAGATCTATGTAATTAACGACCTTGATAAATATGCCTTAGTGAAAAATGATGATAAAAAATAAACAAAGAGTACTTTCTGTTTTCTTAACTGGATCCTGACTGATGACAAACTAGGAAGCGTCCGCATCTCTGCAGCACTAGAAGGTCTCCGATGCAGGAAGGGTGAACGGGGGCCCAGCACTGTTACCAACAAAGGCTGGAAGTAATTTAAAGCAGGAGTGTGAAAGTGTAATCACTGACCTCCGCTTCTACTTTAAATTCCTTAATGGAGTAATTATCATGACCCCTGACAAGCCATAGTTTTGCACCTTCCATTTGGAGTTTGTCAATGCTCTAGTTACTTACATTTTGTGAACATAATTATGCATACACGATTCAATAAATTAACATCAGAATTTTATGACTGTTACTAGATTTGTGATTACATATAATATTAAAGCAAAGCCTTATAGTTTATTTAATCTACTTATTACTCTAATAGCTGCTTTTTGAATAATTGCCTAGGCTAATACTTTTCTATCCCCAACTGAAAATTCTCAAACGGTGTTTGTAAAGCACAACATCTTTATTGCTCACACATTTCTTCACATGTGTCTTATTAACTAGCTGGAGAAGGGGAAAAAAACAAAAGAAAAAAATATAAAGTTGAATCAGCTGCCATGCAACCCTATATTATCACAGCATACTGCCTCTCTTCCCCACCCCTTTCATCCTTCCTACCTCAAACTGTTATTTTAAAGGTGTTTTTGGTTTCTTTGCAAGTATTTTCTAAAAATCATTTGGCTAAGTTTGAATAAAAATAAACCTGTTGTGCTTTTTGTCTTTCAGCAAAAGTTCTGTGAAAACAAAAGTTATTCTCTGACTCATTTACAGACACACAGTAATTTTAAGCAATGATACATCTTTAAGGAAACAATGAAAATGTGGTACCATCAAATAATATTTAAACAAATAAAATATTCTTATTTTAAAAATGTGCATATTTAATCTTCTCTAATCAAATAATAAAATTTAATATTATAGCTGGGTGTTTTGTATGTTTATCTTTAATCTCCCAGTAATTACATGATTGCAAGATTTTTAAATTTAGTTTTAAGTAACTACTATTGAATACCTGTTAGATTTTAGCAGTTTACGTATTTCAATTATAATAATAATTGTGCTCATAAAGTAAAATAAAATGACCTATGAATCAATAATGAGGGTTTTTCCTATTTTTATTTTAATAATAAAGAAAATCTTTTTGGTCGTTCATTGGCCCAATCAAGATAGCATAAAATATATAAAACAAAGTGGAGTCACTCATGTCAACCAGCATGGCTGTCAGTCATCCGTGACACTTTGATTCAAAAAGGAAACCACTTAAGTCAGAGCAGACATATCTGGCAAGGAGACACAGTTAACATATCTGCACACAGAACTGGTGAGTATTATGCTAATTGAAATAAGCCAGGCAGTAAAGGACAAATATCATATGATCTCACTGATAAGTGAAACATAATCAACAAAACAAACAACCAAGCAAAATAGAACCAGAGACACTGACATAAAGAACAAACTGACAGTGACCAGAAGGGAAGGGCAGATAACAGGGGAAAGAAGGGAAAGGGTTAAGTCAAGGAGCATGTATAAAAGACCTATGGAAAAATCCAATGGGGGTTGGGGGAGGATTGAATGTGGGATGTGGGAGGTGGGAAGTGGGAGGTGGGAGGGCACAGGAGAGTAATGGAGGAGAAATGGGAACAATTATAATTGAGCAATAGTTTAAAAAATGATAACTGCACACATGGTCAGAATAGCCATGTCTGTAGGGTGGGACCACACATAGACAGGCGCCTGGAGAAATTCTGCTCTTGCAAATAGGGGTGTCAAGAAGAACAGTTATATATCACCCATAGGCTCTTGAGCAAATTCCCCAGTTGGCATCAGGGGTGTAAAAATGTTTATCAAAAAACCCCAGAAGGGTAGAGTACAGCACCTTCAAGGTATAACTGAGGCAGGCTCCAGCCAGCTGCTGAGACAGCCCAGCTCCACACACCAGGGCACTGCTCCACGCCATGCTGATCTCCCCTGGCATCAGCCACCAGAGGCTCTGCCCTGCTGGACTGAGGACTTTGTCTGCCTTTCTGCCCACCGTGCTCCGGAGATCCTTCCTCACAAGATGCTGACAACTCCCTTGCCCACCATGCTGTCTCTCAGACCTGAAGGCTGGGACTCTGAGACTCGGGGTCATTATCCCCATTGATTTCTGTGTGTGTGTGTTATATTTTTCTTACATTGTTAGAGTGTGAGGAGGATATTAATGTATGTTGATGTTCTACGTTGAGTGAACCTGCATTCAATAAAAGCTGAGTGAAGAGCATAACTACTGTGTGTGACTCTTGTCTACTCCTTGGTGCCAGACTGCTCAGTAGCTAGCGGAGCATTTACCCAGCTTGACTTATAGGAGAGATTATATCACAAACCTATGCTTGGTGACAATTATAGCAAATGTTAGTTTATAAGTACAATTAAAGGCATTTATACAGTTTTTACATAATGATAATAATTAAAAAATGTTTATTTTAAAGGCTGCTTAAAAGTTAATTTTCACTCAGGTGCATACTGCAGCCTATAATTAGCCTTCTTCCATGGGATGTTTGGTCATGGAAATGCAGAAAGAATTTCCAGAGGCAGAAGTTCCATGCTAAAATGGGATTTTGTTTTTCAACTGTAGTTTGATAATGCTGATTAAAGCATGTGAGAAACAAGTGCTCAGAAATATTCAAAAATAAAACTCTAGGGTATTATGCTACATCAAACAAGTCAGACAGAGAGACAAAAATACTGTATGATTTCACTTACATGTGGAAAGTTAAAAAAAAAAAACAATTGAAACAAAGCAGAAACAGACCCGTAGATGCAGACAACACACTAATTATTGCAGAGGGGGAAATCAGGTATGATACAAGTGAGGAGGAATAAAAAGTATTGATACAAATATTCAGTTATAAAATAAATAAACCATGGGAACATAACATACAGTGCAGGAAATATAGTCAATAATACTGTAATAAGTTGACAGTGATAGATTGCTACAAGACTTATGGTGGTGATCACATTGTAAGGTATATAAATGCCAAATCATTATATTGTATACCTGAAACAAATATTGTGTAGTATGCCAACTAAACTTTAATAAAAATAATAGTAAAATCTATAATCATCCCAGAGTTACTATCATGAGAATATAAAAGACATACTTTCATACTATTTGTCTGAAAAATTAAATACTATAGGAATGGTGCCTGGCAAATTTTATTAGCTACATTAAATATAAGAAATATCACAACAATCACAAAGCATAAAGTTCTGTCTATACCATTGGTTTACTGGCCTGGGGTTCAATCCTATTTCTTTGATAAATTCTTACTTACAATTCATTATTTCTCTGTTAATGATTTTCTATTTTCCATCCATTCACAGGATTGTTTTTTCCAAAAAGGTGTCTCACACTTCCTGGCATTATCTCCAAGTATAGGGAATTGTTATACTTTAATTACAATTGGCTAATTCAACAGAGGATGCAATATAATATATAATTCTAATAAGGATTTTTTTTAAATCTAAATAAAGTAACTTTAAAAAGTGTATAGAACTTAGCCCTGGCTGGTGTAGCTCAGTGATTGAGCGTGAGCTGCAAACCAAAGGGTCTCGGGTTTGATTCCCAGACAGGGCACATGCCTGAGTTGTGGGCCAGGTCCCCAGTGGGGCCCAAATAAGAAGCAACCACACATTGATGTTTCTCTCGCTCTCTTTCTCCCTCCCTTCCCCTCTCTCTAAAAATAAGTAAATAAAATCTTTAAAAATATATAAAATTAAAAAATGTTATTTAGGAATTATTATTTTAAAGGACCTAACACTGGATAAATTTATTTAACCTTTTAAGATATGAATTTTCTTAGCTTTAAAATAAGGTTTGAGGAAAGTAACCTATAATGATAATATTTGCATGCATAATCTTAAAGAATGCTATTATAGATCCAGATAATTGCCAATTATCACTGCTTCAAAACTAATATGTAACAACATCAGTGTTGGAATCATATGATGAATATTTGATGTTATATAACATAATTTCTAGTCATTTATTGAAAGTATTTATTAGTGGTTAGTATCTGAAAATTAATATTTGGGTCTGAGCTCTCCTGCACAAAGATAAGCAGGGTTTCTTCTTTCAAGAAACTTTCCATTTGAGGTTGAAAAGAGAACATAACTACTAAATAAATGATGGGCAAAGTAATTTTAGACTCTGATTAATGCTAAAAGGGAATGAACTCTGAGCTATGACAGAGTAAATAGCAGTAGAGGGACTAGGATGAGGCAATTGGTATGATGGATTTCCTCTCTAAGCTGATAATTGTGGAGTATTAAGCCAGGTGAAGGATTGCAGGTAGAACATTTTAGACACCTAAAATTGATAGGTATAAGACTCTGAGACAGGAAAGCTTGTCAGTTCTCCCAACATGTGGTATTTTCTTTTTTTATAAAGATTTTATTTATTTTTAGAGAAAGGGGAAAGGAGGGGAGAAAAGGGAGAGAAACATCCATCGGTTTCCTTTCACTTGTGCCTTTTTTTGATATGGGTTTTCTTAGCTTTAATGTTTACTTTTTGCAGGAAAGCTTAGACCCAAATATTAATGCTCAGATATTAAACACTGTTGCGCGTGGGTCACCGGCCAGCCGTGACCATGGAACGCTGTGGATGGCTCGACAATAAACACGCGAGAAAAAACACACATGCACAGAGACTAGTTTCTGTGGGGAAGTAGGGACGAAATGGCCATCCCCCCTAGTGGGGAGCGCGCTGATTTACAGTCCATACCTGCTTTTATTGGGCTCATTCTGCATAATAATTCAGGTAAAGTACAGTACTTATTAGGGGGAAGTAAGGAATCATAGAAAACAAAGAACTTTGCCGGTCTGTTGAGTTGGGGGTCAAAGAGCTGTAAGACTGAGGAACCTAACTTCCTCCTAAGACCCTTCTCATTCAACTGAGAGCATTGTAAACAAAGAAGGTTTCACAGTAATTTACATGTTCTTTCTTAGGCCTGATCACCCTGGGGAATCCGCACTTCTCAGTACCGAGCTGCACCACCCTGTCATTGTGTCAGGCTTAGGTGGAGCAAGGGAACTAAGGTAACTGGGAGACAAGGAGGTGTTTTACCAGAGGCTGAGAACTCAGGCTATGTCAAAGCCAAGGAGCGAGGGTCCATCACCCCCTTTTGCTGCAGCCCCCCAAGTCCTTCTTTTGGGGGGCCTCCCAAAGTGATCATGCCTGGCTTAGGTCGTTCCCCCTGTGGGGAATCTTACCCGTCTTTGGCTAACCGACCAAGCTTTTGGGAGTTCAGTCATATAATAAAGCAGCAGAAGCAGCATTCCTGCCAGGAAGATAAGCTTTTGTCTCCTTGCTGGCTTACAGTTCCAAGGGCGTTCCCTTAGCTTTAGCCTGGGCGGGGGTTTCAGCTTCTGATACCAGTCAGGGAGGTTCCCAACAAAACGCTAATAAGTATTTTTAGTAAGTTAATAGAAATTATGTTACATGAAACTAGATATTTGTTATATAATTATACATGCACTACAGCCTAGGCAGGTACCTTGACTGGGGATCAAACCAGTGACCTTTGGGTTTGCAGGACAATGCCCAACCCACTGAACCACACCAGGCAGGGTGCATGTGGTATTTCCATTTTGTGGCTGCATTCAACCTAGTGAATTTTTGATGACTTTCAATGCCTTTTCCCATGTCATAATGGGTGATTCACCTGCCTGTAAACACCATGGTGAATGTTCAGTGGTTTTAGCCAAAAATGGCCTGACCCCTGTGTCCCACCCTCCCTATTTACCCAACCTTGCCCTGAGTGACTTGTTTTTTCTGTCCTCAGATGAA